TTTTTTTTTTTTTTTTTTTGCTATAAGCCACTGGATGATATTAGCATTGACAGTGGTAAATGGGTGCAAGGAAACGGACAGGAAAACTTATTTCCAGGTGATCACTTTTTTGTTTTTTTTCTCTACTGCATGTCCTTGTCCTAAATCATGTGGGTGGGGGATTTTCTTTTTGCATTGGTTGCTTTGTTTCATAGATTCAGACACTAGGGCTGGAAGGGCCTTCGAAAGATCATCGAGTCCAGCCCCCCTGCTCCAGGGGCAGGAAGTCAGCAGGGGTCATAGGATCCCAGCAAGATAAGCATCTAAATGTCTCTTGAAGGCATTCAAAGTGGGTGCTTGAACCACCTCTGGTGGCAGTCTATTCCAAACCTTGGGGGCTCGGACAGTAAAGAAGTTCTTCCTTATGTCCAACCTGAAATGGTCATGGAGGAGTTTGTCACTGTTTGACCTTGTCATCCCTTGGGGCGCTCTGGTGACCAAACGTTCCCCCAGATCCTGGTGAACACCCCTGATAAACTTATTGGTGGCCACCAGATCACCCCTGAGCCTGCGCTTTTCCAGGCTGAGGAGTCCCAGGGCTCTCAGCCTGTTGTCATAAGGTCTGTTTTCCTGACCTCTGATCATGCGTGTGGCTCTCCTCTGCACTCTCTCAAGCTTCTTCACATCATTTTTGAATTGCAGAGCCCAAAACTGGATGCAGTACTCCAGCTGCGGCCTCACCAAAGCCAAGTACAATGGGAGAATGACATCCTGGGATTTTCTTGAGAAGCATCTATGGATGCAAGCAAGTGTTTTGCTCGCTTTACTGGCCGCAGCATCACATTGAAGGCTCGTGTTCATCTTGTGGTCAATCATGGCACCCAAGTCCCTTTCATCTGTAGTGCTAGCACTGCCACGCCTATAAGCATGCTGCAGGTTTTTCCTCCCAAGGTGGAGAACCTTGCATTTTCCTGAGCCTGGCAAGGTCAGCCTGGATCACCTCCCTGTCTTCAGGTGTGGATGCTTTACCCCAGAGTTTGGTGTTGTTAGCAAACTTGGCCAGTCCGTTTCTGACACTTGGCCAGTCTGCTTGTATTTGTGCATAGAAAAATCACATAAGTTATTAATTACAAAGGCAGTTCACAGTAGCTGTGCGCCATGGCCAGGCTTTTTAAGAATGATGATCAATTTTGGGTGTCAAACTTGATCCCGTACCTCAAAGAAGCTAGATTTTCAGAAAGCACCGAATCCTTACCCTTTAAAATTCAGGCCCCTTGAGAGGAGCCTGCAGTCGGTCATTTTGTAGTCAGTTTTGAAAGTCTTGTATTTTCATATCTGCCGTTAGTCTTTGCTATCCGTTTAACTAAATTCAGCGCAAATGAAAAGTAAAAAAGGGAGGTTACATCGTTCCAGCTGCCTTACACGCTGACAGTGAAGGGCACTCTCCTGTGCTCCTTACGCAGGGAAAACCGGCAAGGAAAAAAGTGCTGAATCAGAGCCTAATTCTATAACTACAACATGCATTAAAGTCATGTTCTGATGGATGTTTTGGGGTCGAACAACAGCCTGCAGAGAACTGAAAGGGAATGGTGGGGATCGGATGACGCCGTGAGGGACCCTGCCGGACAGGGCACCAAGACGGTTGCAGGGCATCAGTCCTGCAGGTCTCTGGGGGTGGGCCGCATGCTTGGAGGCCCCTCGGGAAGTTGGCTTTCTGCTTTCTGTCCCAGGGCCAGGCCGGGCTGCCACCCGCTTTTCCTGTGCACAGCCTGTCCATCCCTGCGTGCAACTGCAAACAAAAGGTGATCAGCTCGGTAAGAGATGCCAGCTACCAAGGTCAGGCTCTGTCCGTGTGGTACCAGGGATGCTCCTTCCAGGCCCAGCCCGACTGCCCCGTGCCGGGCTCGCTCAGGCCCCCCCACCCCCGCAGCCTCTGGCTGCTGCTGGGCGCGGCGCGGCGGTGGCAGGCCGGGAGTGACGTCACGGGGGGCGGGGCCGGGCGCGGCGGGAAGGCTGCGCTCCAGGCG